GTATTTGCTGACTAGGTTATCGTATCGACCAAAGATCTTACGAAGTGATGACTTCAAACGAGACTGCTGATATTCTTTTTTCATCAACTTGTTTGTCAATAATTTACCTCTTTTTAGAAATTGCACATATGTAGAGCATGCACTTGGGTATCGAATCAATTGAGATATATAAACTCCGTATGCAGATGATGAAGGTAGAATGCTGCATAAGTAAGGGAAGTTGACGATAGAAAAGTTTAAGTCATCACGTTAATCATAGAGCTTGGTTGTTTGATTACTATTAACATCTTTTTCAAGTTAATATCAAGTATGAAACAGATGTGTCAGATGTGTCAGACTCTGTGGTATCTTTTTTCTAAAGCTCAAATAAAAAGAATGATGAAACATTGGTTATGAGTTAAAGAAATAAACCACTTTGCTTCTAGCAGAAAAAAAATTGAATTACTTTTGTAGCACGATTTAACCAGTGCCTCTCTCTAACCAAGGAAGGATTGTTGCAAATTTTATTACAGCTCTTTCATCTGTTTATAGTAAAACAGTCGGTAGATGAAGATGTAGACATTAGACAACAGACATACTTGATCAGAAAAAAAATATGTATAGCGTTTGGTTTAAGCAAGCTGAAGTTTTCTAGCTGTATATATTTGTTATGTTTAAAAATATAGTTGTTTTCCAATTTATGCTCATAGTTCCCTTTCTAAGGAAGAAATTCCTCAAAACCATTTATCAGTTTTGAATATTTTCAATATCCCAAAGAACCCAAGTGAATTTGATCTACCATATATATTGACTGAATACCGAAACTTTATTAAAAAAAATAAAAATCCTTTTAAACAAATATACATAGCGGTTTCCAGTATATGTACCACCAAGTCTCTTTCTTTACTCCTCAAAAAAATATATACATTAGTGATGGAGAAACTTGAAGAGAACCATTCAACGATATAGGTGTAAATCAGACGCGGATACTAAAAATTTTAAAGGAACTTTATGAACACTTGTAATCACAAATTTTATCAAAATCAACAACATACACACTGACGACATTTCAACTTTATACACACCCATTCCCCACAGTGAACTGAAGTCCAGGCCTCTGATATTATTGACAGCTGCTTTTTCAATCAAAGTACTGAAAGTACTGGGAAGCGCTAAGCATATTGCAATTCGAAATCATCGGATTTTATTTAATTTAAATTGCCTGTTGTATTTGAATTTAAGCAGTATCTTGAGAATGTAGCTGCACTAGGGTGAGCTCAGTTGTTTGATACATAATCAAACATCTGAATTCAACATTGTCTTATGCCTTTTTATTTTAGGCATTTTACATTTTTATATTTTCTTCTTCTTTCAAAGATCAATCCATTTTACATACATGAAATCACAGAAAAATATTTTCCGTTTTCTATATAAAAAAAAACAAAAACAATATGTACACATTTTTATGACAGATATCTAGTCCAAACAAGCAATGTATTTTTCCAACCTAATATAAAAAAAACTTTAAAATATTTTCTTTATCCATCACCTTATTGGAGTCTAAGAGATGTATATTTGAGTATAATTCGCAAATTATTGGAGGGGGATAGTCGACGAGTTTTCCGACCTTTAGATCATAAATGTAGCCATACATTTCCTGGAAAATGTACATGACTGTATATTTCTAAGTAATTTTGAACATTTGGAACATCGACAGCTAAAATGTTCTGGTGATATTTTTAAATAACAAATTTATTCCGTTTTTACAAGTGTTACAATTAAATTGAAGTTTGACTCTTAGTGACTGTTTTAATTTCAGAAACTGCAATTGGAAAACAAAGATATTTTTTGTTTATTGCGTCGATGAAAATATCCTTATTGACAACAAAATTATTTATAAGAATTATGAATAAAACATCTCAAAAATATCGAATATTAGTATTCTCACTAAATTGTTTTTCTTTTTTTTTAAATACTCTGATGCGATTTATAAATTTACGATTTTGTGGAAAAGATTTTAGAATAAATACTTTAATGGTGTGTGTAAGATATTTATTCAATCGCTTCGAGCGTCCATGCACTATCTATTAATGATAAATAAAAGTACTAGTTAGACTATATATATTACATTTTGTTTTGAATATGCTACAGCTGTGAAATATACATTTTTAACACTTTTAAAACATTCATTGCGCTGCGTAGCATACGTACTATCGGCATCATGTTTGTAACATCTTCATGTGACAAAACTCTGTGTCAATGAAATGAGCACCCGTAGAGATTACGTCTTTATTGAGTATAAAGAAATATTATATTTGTCTTTTTCATTTGATGATAAAACATTCGGTGCTATCACTTTTTAACTGTTTTTCATGTCATGGTTATCCAAGAAAAAATTGTTTTTTCTGTTGATCTCACAATATGTGTGTATCAGATTTTTAATTTTTTGTTTTAAATAAAAAATCCGTACTTTTCTTCTTTGGATTAAACATGTTATTAAACCCCCTAAAGTATTCTTGGACTATTGTTGAAATACTTTTGATGCTTAACAGTCTTTAACTACCACGCAAAACGTGTTTAGAGTAAAAATATCCATGTAGCACTATTGTTGGTTTTGTAAGTTGTATAGGAATACTTAAAATGATTGCCCGTAATTTTTCTGCTATTTACTTGATAAATATTCAACAGCTTAAGATAGAAAATACGGTATATATATCAAGTTTCAATAAATCTTCAAGATGGTATACAACATTGTTTAATTATGTAATTGTGTAGTCCTCATTAAGTTGCTTAGCAGTCAAATCGACAACAAGCACACATCTTTACATAAACTATTTATTCCTAGTTTCCTAATCAAATGTCACCGCGGTTACACTATTTATTTTCAACTTCATCGGTGCTATTCCTGTCCATTGCTAGGGAAGTTTAATTAAAGTTTTTGCATTTTTCTCTATATCTTGCGCACTGTACACACAATGTCAAAGCACAATATTCTGAGAAATTAGTTTTCTTCTTTGAGGGGATTCGCTAAAAACACAGCCGCTATGTGTCCTACATGTACGTAAGCCGCAAATTGCTTTCACTCCGATTTATTTACATCACATTTTTACCCATATTACAAGTAAAGAGTACAACAAAAAGTGTAGACAGTCTGTTATTAATTGAGACTGAGATGCAAAAATCAACTTCATTGATAGCTCTCTGCGTGGTGCAAGGGTGATAATAGAAGACTTGTTTTTACATGTAGTTGAATTGCCTGAAAGTAGGGTCTACGCCTAGAAGAAGAAAAAATAATTTATATGGATATACGTTATATAGAATGTATATATGGAAGCACATTGTAAATGATTTTATGCGAAATTTTCTATTGAATAACTCAATTCCAGTTTGATTTTAAATACTTATCAAAATTGCATCTGCATCTTAAAATATGTACTTATTTGATCATTACATTAAATTATAATACACCGTTTTTGATTAAGTATTTGCGCCACAGATGCAATTAATTGAGAGCTACATAGTAAAGATGTGATGAGTACCGACACGATTTAAAATGAAATGTTCAACAACAGTGTATATACAGAAAGGCATGACAAGAACCGCCCTTATCTACTAACAGTGGATGGTCGTACAATGTACATGATATTTTTATCTACTTTTGACTTCTATTATTAGAACTGCGCGTAACTCAATATTACACTATAATAGCCGAAAGATAGTAGGGGATGTCCAGTTGCATTTTTTAGAAAACCAGAAAAACTTGCTTAGTGGCGCTGGATCGCGAATGGAAGTAGATTTACGGCGACAGAAAGCGCTTTGCGCTGCGCTTAGCGCTTAATAAAAATGGGCCTCGTAAATATATTTACCTTGACACTGGTCATTTGCAAAATTACTTTGTTAAAAAATATTCTGATTACACATAAAAGTACTTGATACTAAAAAAGTTTTTGATTTTATAAATCCATGTAGTTTATAAAGGCCAGATCTTCCAACAATCGATTGGAAAACCCATGGGTACCAATTGCGCCCCGTTATTAGCAGACCTTTTTTTGTATTTATATGAAGCAGAGTTTGTTCAAAATATTTTACCAGAAAAGAAGAAAACACTTGTTGTGGCCTTTGACTCGACATTAAGATATATATCGACGACGTATTTCAATTAATCATTAAGTCAAATGCTGACAGGCGTTTTTTCATAACAATGGTTAGGCCATTATTTACACACTGAGTTGTCCACGGATTTTTTCTGTCATTTCCAGATCTCGTTAGATGGGTATCTCTAAATGTATGTGACAATTATATTCACCCTTATGTAAATTATTGCGTTAGAATTTATAAGTGTTGAACCTAAATACATTTAATTTTTGTATTCTCACGTATATTAAGTAAGGGGAACTGTCAAATGCATACCGTATTGGGGGAATTTTAGCAAGATGCAAATTTAGCTATTTTTTCTCATTTTTTTTTTTTTATATTTTTAGCGATTAGAATTAAAATTTTTAGTATCCACGTCTGATTTACATCTCCTTAGAAATTTTAAAAATTTAAGATTTAAGATTTAAAAATGCTCACTAAAGAAGCTATTACAAGTAAAACGCAAATAGTTTTTAGCGATATTCGCTGATATTGCGAAAATTAAATCCACGCTAAAAATTCTACTACACAGTAATTATCAACTTCTGTGCTACATTCCAATGGCATAATGTATCACACAAAGTATTGTTTTTTGGTTGAATGTTGCATTTTTTGTCACAGGTAAGTATTTTATGATCGGTTAGAATTTGTTTTGTAATGGTCTATGCACACACCTATTGGGGTTTTAAATTAAGATTATGCGAGCATACGATTACCTTGGCTTGTGTATAAAAAGAATATTTATCATGAAATACGACAACAGCATGTCCCAGGCTATTATTATTCATTGCAAGAGTATTTAATAGAATAAAAAGATCTTCAGTGTTAACAAAATGTCATTGTGAATCCTTGTACATGTAACTAAGGGTTATGAAAAATTGTCTTACTATGTTTTCTAAATCATTTATTTTCTCTTGTGCCTCCTTTTCATGGGAACAGACAAATTCATCCAGTTTTTTTGCGAGAAGCCTTTTCGTCTTTTCAACCTCTTGTGTTGTTTTCTCAACAGTTTCTTCACTCTCTTGCTTAAGATTCTGTTTCATCTTTTGAAATTCCTTTTCCATTTCAATTGTGTCTTGAATAAATTCACGAAGCTCCTCTAAAAGTATATCATCTTCCTTGGTATTCCGCGTTTCCGAAATGTCTTCTAATGATTTGACATCAACACAAGAACGATGTTTGGTTGCAAAACATACACTGAAGCAAAGTTTGGTGTGATCAACGCAGAAAACTTCTACTGTTTTACCACTGTGTTGATCACAATAGTATTCAATGTCAGAAAAAATGTTCTGATTTCTAAACTCTTCTAGAGTGATTATTCTGTGATTCTTTAATGCACTGAACATGTCATGAACATTTTTGCAATCAGCGCAGACAGGATGTGCGCAGCTTACGCACCAAAACGATGACTTACTTGTTTTGTTTTGACGCCAACACGCCCCATAGTTTTACCTATAATCGCTGATTTTTCCATCAAAGTTAAAAGTAAATAGTTGTCAGGAAAATTCTTTGCCCAGTCTTTCACCTGTAAATCTTGATTTGGAGGTTTTACACTTTTCCGACAAATAGGGCATGCAAAATCAGTTTTTGACTGCCGTTACTTGTTGATTCCATCGAAGTTTCGATATACGCATTCAAACAAACCTCACAAAAAGTGTGCAAGCATGGAAGGTATTTTGGTGTTTTCATCTGTTCCAAACAAATCGGACAATCAACCACATTTCCAGGAATTTGCATTTCCTTTTCTATCTTACTGGCCATGATTATGTACTATATTCTGAAAGAAGAGTGTGCTGTCAACCGGAAATCTCGTACCTGATCCTCGTGACAGGTAACTAGGTCATCGATTGAAAACACAATTGTGGGTGTCTTGTTGCTTCTCTCCTTAACCTGTTCTCTTCTAGGTTAAATCACCTTAGTGCACTTCATTGGTAGATTGATTCAGACTACCACCTAGATTATTCTGCACTTTCTATGTACTTGTCAGTCATTCTTTTGCTTGTTCAAATAAAGAACAAGGTTCAGTTTCAATACAAATTAAGCCTTTTATTTTTCTAAAATATGAAAGTGATATTAGAGATTTGAATTCATTCTTTCGGATTCATAGGAATTATATGCAGTAAGAATACACAAATTATTTTTCTCATATGACATCCTAAATGTTAATCGTGAAGTCATTAAACTTGTGCATTTTCACGTAGTAATACTATATAAGGGTAGTTGTAATACTATTAATATATTACAACACTCGCAGGTCAAAAATTTTGATACTACTGTTACAAAATAATATTTTGAAAAATCTTGTTTAAAAATTTCAAACTGGAAGATGTGTACAAAGAATCACTACATTGATCACATCTGTTGATATTTCGATAACAATTCAATGGAAGGTGTTTTACCAAAATATTGAATAATGATTTAAATGTTTTCTTTGTAAAAAGCTGTTTAAGATATACCTCCATATTCATTTCAGGTTGAGGGACTCGATCAGAAATATTCTGAGTATATCAAGGCTTGGGAATCAATACATGCAGGCCAACAAACCCTGGGTCTTAGTGAAAGGCAACCACACAGACAAGTAAGATATCATAGACCAACAAACCCCGGATCTTACTGAAAGGCAACCACACAGACAAGTAAGATATCATAGACCAACAAACCCTAGGTCTTAGTTAAAGGCAACCACACAGACAAGTAAGATATCATAGACCAACAAAACTAAATATGTTCCCCCTACTTGTGACTTGTTATATGAAGAATTTAACCATTGCTTTATAAAATATACACAGATTATGTGTTTTATTTTCATAAATATTTTCTTTATTAAAAAAATAACGAATTGTCTATCGAGCCTTTCTATGCGCACTCTTTTCGAGACATTCATATTAAATAGTTATTAACAGGAAATATAAAACCATAAAACAATTCTTTGCAATGAAAACTAATTTCATTTTGTCTGAAAAAAGCAAATAACATTTCTTATAAAACAATTAAGAGTTAAGGTTTTTCAATGCTAAAACCATAGTTTCAGCATAGTTTAAAAGGGATGTCTAAAAGATCTATTAAAGTAAATTTTTGCTATGAACTGCAAAATTTGCTAAAAATATTTTAGCAAACAAAGCAATTCATGAAATTTGTTGAAAGCAGTACTCATTTTGCACAGCAACTGATTTTGTTTTAAGCAAGCAAAGCAGACCAGTTCATGAATTTGTTAAATGCAGCACGCATTTTCACAGTAAATGAATTTGTTTTAAGCAGCGGCAGCACAATGAATTATAGCGTCAGTTTTATGGCTTAGCGCAAACTGACACTTGAGATGACAAAGAAAGTTTAAGCTAATTCAATGGAATGTCAAGCTGGAACTCATCGAGCAAGGGTAAACACACAATCAAAATAATAGCATACACAGACCAATGGAATACCACGACGAAAATCTTCAAGTGACGTGACTACACAAGTCAAAACCTGAAATGATAAAGAAAACCCAACAGCAGACAAAAATTTCATGAAGCTGTTTAAGACATGATGCAAATTATCCCATTATCTACCTTATGGGGTGGATTGGAGTGGGATTTAAGAAACAAATGTGATTGAAAGTTTATTTTTTTTCAAAGTTCTTTAATATATTGCAAGGAATTGTGATTTCCTGATACTAATAGGTAACTCATTCCAGATAATAACCAATGAATATTGTAAATAAATAATTTTTAAGGTCAGATGCTACATTCTCAAATATCTGTTTTGTGTATCTTCATAATATTTGAAAAACATAAAAAAAAGTTTAGTTATTTTCTGATTTCTAAATCGGTTTTTAATTGTTTTTAAAAATTGAAACACTTACAATGTGATTTTGGCAAACTAATTTTTTTCCATGAAGGATTATATAAGAAATGCTATCCTCTGGTATCTCGCACAAATGCCTGGTATAAGGCAACTCAATTTTTTGTGAGTAAATTTGTTAAAGTAGCAATTCTTCAATGACAAAATAGGCATTGAAGGTTTATCATATTTTTCATTTAAAATAATCCTAGCTGCTCGTTTTTGTAATCTATAGATTATATTCAGTTGCATCAAATAGATAGACTATACAAAATTGTTGGCAGAATAAAAATATTATAAAATATTTTTCTAGTATGCATTGGAAGAAACTTCTAAATTTTTTGTAAAGTAAATAATTTATATGCAAGAGTTTTGCAAACTGCATCTACATGACAAGTATATTGAAGATTATGATCAATGTAAACACCCAATAATTTCTCCACTTCTACATTTTCAAGGAGATGACCGAAAAGTTGTAAATGAAGATTAACGTTTTCTTTTGTTTTGTTCCCATTAATATACACTTTGTTTTATTATTATATAATTTAATTTTATGTCTCAATGACTTGCGTCAAAAACGCATTAATCCGCCTGATGTTACATTCAAATTTTGTACAAATTGAAGTCATTTTTTAAAAACGATCATTTTCTTTCTTATACCAAATGAAAGAAAATTAAATTATAAGGAATGAATTTAATAGATACCCATTTTATACGGTATAAAATCGCGGTTTATAAAAAGGAAAAAATATTCCAACCCAGTTTGTACCGTATAAAATGGGTAGCTTTTAAATTCATTCCGTAATATAAGTAATCTGATTTTGTTTGACACCACTTTTGTATTTGATAGAGGTCGTGATTGAGAGTTGTTTCAATAAGGGACATATATAGGTCCTTGTTTCAATACGCCAAATACTGTTACCATGAAAATGCATTGTAGTGTCATCAGCAAACATACTTGTATCAATATCAAAAATGAAATGTGAAAAATAAGACGTTGACACTTTGTCAGAATGGATTAAATGTATCATATCCGTGGTAAAATGGCGTATTAAAAGACTGAGGGCAAAATGAAAACCATATATCCTTTTGTATTCAATAATCTAGAAGTAAAAAAAAAAGCAAATTAGATAGATTACATGAGCAGCACCTACTGGTCCCTGCTGAAAAAGCAGGTAACAATATTGTATTTGTAAGGCTCATTATCTAAATTGTATTTTAGAAGAACTTGGATTTAATTTTAAAAGTGTAATCCAACTTATGCTCTTTGTTCCCTTTCTAAGGAGGAAATTCTTCAAAATCATATGTTAGTTTTGAATGTTTTTAATATTCCAAAGAACCAAAATAATTTTGAATTACCATATATATATTGGATTCCGAAACTTCATAAAAATCCTTACAAACAAAGATACCTAGCGGGTTCCAGTAAATGTTCAATCAAGCCTCCTTCTTTACTCCTGACTAGGATATTGACAGTAGTGAAGGAAAAACTTCAAGAGTACTGTGCAACAATATATTCAAGAAGTGATTTAAATCAGTTGTGGATACTTAAAAATTCCTAAGAACTTTTGAACAATTTGAAATCTCAAGATTTTACCAAAATCAACAGCGTGAAAACTTGACTTTTCAACTTTATACACAACCATTCCTCACGATAAATTAAAGTCCAGGCTTTTTGATATTATTGACATCTGCTTTGCAATAAAATGGAACTCGTTAATTTACGTACCTCTTTATTTGTCATTTGAAAAAAATATTTTGTTAAAAAGCATTGGGATTGTACATACAAGTACTCTGAATTTGACATCAAAGGATGCTTGAGTTTCTGATTGACAATATCTATGTTATTTTTAGAGACCAGGTCTTCCAACAAACTATTGGAATTTCCATGGGTACCAATTGCGCGCCGTTATTAGCAAACCAATTCTTGTATTCATATGAAGCAGAATATGTAAAAAGATCTTGCGATGAAAGAAGGAAAAGGAGTAAAGAAGTAAACACTTGCTGTGGCCTTCAACTTCGAAATTTTACTTGAAAAAGACATTCATGGTAATCTTACAACCAAGTTCTATGGTAAACGTGATGAATTTAACTTTTCTATCGTCAACTTCCCTTACTTATGCAGCAATAGATCTTCGTCACCTGCATACGGAGTTTAAATATCTCAGCTGATTCTACACGCAAGAGGATGCTCTACGTATGAACAATTTCTAAATTTCTGATTTATTAACTAACAAGTTGATGAAACAAGAATATCAGCAGTCTCGTTTAAAGTCATCATTTCGTAAGTTTTATGGTCGATACAATGACCTTTTCAGCAAAAACAATTTACCATTGAGTCAAATGGTGACTGACGTTTTTCATACTTCCAATTATTTGTCCTTATATATTCCAGAATTGTCTTGTACTTGTGTAAATTAAGGAATAGCCTAGGAAAGAAAACTTCATGTATATTATATAATTATTTAATTGCTAATTCACAATCTGAAATTGGTAAGAATCTTTGGATTGACTGTGTTCGTGCGTGGTATTTTTGATTCATGTTGACTTTCGAATATTTAGAATAAATTTTACAGTTTTG